TCTTATTCTGTCTGTCACCTGTCACCCAGTGACACGATCACAGCTCACTGCAGACTCAAACTCCTGGCCTTAAGCAATCCTCCTGACAGCTGGGACCACAGGCTTGCATACCACCCTCAACTGATTTTTTAATCTTTTGTAGAGATGGAGTCTTGCTCTACTTGTCTTTTTGGAAGCTTTAAGGAGAATGTGTGTGCAAACTGCAAGCCAGGTTAAAACAAAATGACGGAAAATAAATTAGGATAAATTGTAAATAAACAGCTATCTAAATCAATTAGAACCCTAGGCAAAAGGGCCAAACACTACAGGTTCTAATAAGCCACAGAAAAAATTCCAACACCTGATACAAATGCCCTATCCAGTCTAATTATACAAGCGAAATTCTTGGTTCAAGCCACTGACTATGCTGGAACTGGGTATGTCTGAGGCATAGGGGCCTACAGCTGGATATTCACATTAGGGGCCTATAGCTGGATAGTCACATTAATAGTTAACATTTAATGTGTGTTACTGCATCTAACACTAACTAGTTACTAACATTTAAAATGTGTTATTGCATTTAAGGGGAACCATTAAACCAATCCTATGAAATGGTTACTTAGGGTACCATTTGATAAGGAACTTGAGGCTCAGAGAGGTTAAGTAGCTTCTCTAAGGTTACACAGTACTAAGTAGCAGAATTTGAACCCACATCTATCCAAATCCAAGTTCCCCTCATAGGCTCTGTACCCCTCTGTCTCTCAAGTTCAGAACTGAGCATTTCTAGAATCTGCTGGGCTACTAGAAAACTGTAGAACAGGCCTGTTATCTGTCTCCAGGCAAAGAAATTTCCCCACAGAAAGCTCTTGGTACCTAAACTCCTCAAAACACCTTTCAAAGGTAATTTGCTGTCTCTAAGGAAGTGCTGCGTTGTAAGATACAACTCTCCTAATCAGAAAGACGGGCATCTCATATGCTTAGTAGTACAAAACCTTACTGTTATCTTCAAAGCTTAATTCTCAGCTTTTCAGAAATGACAAAGTAAGAATAATGAAGGGAAGGCTTGAGATGCAAGAAAACCATTCTCTGTACGTGCAAGTTAACTGTTCCTCGGGATTATTCTGGACACTAATATATGAAACTTTCTGGTTACAGCTAAAATTTTGTCAGTAAAAGAACATGGAGGTTGGGTGTGGTGGCTCACATCTGTAACGCCAGCACTTTGGGAGGCCAAGATGGGAGGACTCCCCGAGCCCAGGAGATTGAGGCCAGCCTGGGCAGTGTAGGAATACCCCATCTCTATGCGGGGGAGGGGGGGCGGGGAACATTAGCTAGGCATGGTGGTGTGTACCTCTAGTCCCAGCTACTCGGGAGGCTGAGGTGGGAGGATCACTTGAGCCTGGGAGGTCGAGGCTGCAGTGAGCCGTGATGGCACCACTGCACTCCAGCCTGGGTGTCACAGCAAGACCCTGTTTGCAGAAAACAAAAATTCTTACACTTATACTAATGTAGCCATGTGAAATATTTTACTACTTGCACACATTAAGCACGGTGGCACTGTGTATGCACTCCTGAGAACTGAGTCCTGGTGGGGGCTCCGAAGAGGATTCTGGAACTCTGTAGCCTCCAAGCAGTCCCGCGGTCAGGGAGTTTGCAGACAGCAGCCTTGGGTCAACGCTACAGAAGCCCGAGAAGGTGGAACCTGGGAATCTCCAAATTCACTCCCACCAACTTCCCCAAAGTACTGTTATTCCTCGTTATTCTTTCGGAAAATGTCTGAATGATCTCGCTTTTCACCTCCCAAGGTTATACCGGAAACGTGTTTTTTCAGGTAGCAAGTGGCTATCTTTTCTTCCTTAATAAAAGCCAAGGCTTCAAAGAGATAACGGAGCTGAACCGAAATAGCTAAGCCACTCGCCCCATTTGTAAATATTACATGAAGTCTCTTCAAAAGCCTAAGGGGATAAAGCTCCTCTGCTGAAAGTAGCCTCTCTTCTCCTCACACGTGCAAGCGGGTGCTGGAGGGAGCAAAGCCGTGGGGCCAAGAGCCGCACTGTGCCAGGCAACCGCTTCTTTCTCCTCCTATCAACAGTGCCCCCAGTAATGACCATGATCGTGGCAGAGACAGACAGGGGCAGCAAGGGGCACACCCAGATCCTCAGTTCCAGAGGAAGGAACTGCTCTGTTGCTGACAGCAAGGACCCTTACGGAATGCAAGAGACCAACACACACCAAGGCTGAGAGGCTAAATAGTACACAAACGAAGTTGAATGGCACATATTTTCACTAAGGCTACAAAACGCAAATCATCTACGTTTCCTCCCTTTTCCTTCTGCCAAGACGTAGCAATAGCATCAACTCCGATCTCTGTCCCCGTCAGAACCATGGATTCCCAGTAAACCTGACTCTGCTGTTCTCTCCATGCCTAGCTGGGTATCCGTCACCTTTCAGGGTCTCCTCAGCACCTCCCTTCTTCTCACTTGTCACAGCCTGGACCTGATCTCACACATTCATGGGCCTAACCCATATTCTTTCAGTTTCTTCATGCCTCAACTATTTCTGAACATCTACTGTGCTCCAGGCACAATATAAAAACATGAATATTGCACAGCTTTTGTCTTCCCAATGTCCCAGTGGAGAAGAAAGACTTCTAGAATAAAAAAAAAAATCATGGCCAGGCCCAGTGACTCACTTTTGGAGGCCAAGGCGGGCATATCACAAGGTCAAGAGATAGAGACCATCCTAGCCAACATGGTGAAACCCTGTCTCTACTAAAAATACAAAAACTAAGCCGGGCGCGGTGGCTCAAGCCTGTAATCCCAGCACTTTGGGAGGCTGAGGCGGGTGGATCACGAAGTCAAGAGATCGAGACCATCCTGGTCAACATGGTAAAACCCCGTCTCTACTAAAAATACAAAAAAATTAGCTGGGCATGGCGGCGCGTGCCTGTAATCCCAGCTACTCAGGAGGCTGAGGCAGGAGAATTGCCTGAACCCAGGAGGCGGAGGTTGCGCTGAGCCGAGATCGCGCCATTGCACTCCAGCCTGGGTAACAAGAGCGAAACTCCTCCATCTCAAAAAAAAAAAAAAAAAAAAAAAATACAAAAACTAGCTGGGTGTGGTGGTGCACACCTGTAGTCCCAGCTACTCAGGAGGCTGAGGTAGGAGAATTGCTTGAACCCAGGAGGCAGAGATTGCAGTGATCCAGGATCACACCACTGCATTCCAGCCTGGTGACAAAGCTAGAATGTCTCAAAAGAAAAAAAATCATCACAATCCTATGTAACAGGAGTCACAAAGCAAGGCACATATCCACCTTCACAGAAGAGGGAGTGGCTATGTTAGCCTGGTGCAAACGGAGAAGGTTTTACACAGGTGGTGATGTCTACCAGACTCTCAGAAGTAAAAGGATTTCAGGTGCAAAAGAGTGAAAGAGAGAAAACAGAATTCGTAAAGGCACCAAGAGCTGAACAAGTAGGCCAGGCGTCCCCAAACTACAGCCCGCAGGCCGCCTGCGGCCCCCTGAGGCCATTTATCCGGCCCCCGGCCGCACTTCAGGAAGGGGCACCTCTTTCATTGGTGGTCAGTGAGAGGAGCACAATATGTGGCGGCCCTCCAACGGTCTGAGGGACAGTGAACTGGTCCCCTGTGTAAAAAGTTTGGGGACACCTGGAGTAGGCTCTGGTCCAGGAAGGGCAATAGGTTCCAAATGGCTGGAATGCCAACTGCATGGAAAGATGAGGTTGTGATCAGATTCAGAAAGGCCTTGTACACCACCCCAACAAACCTGGAGAAATGTGGAGAGAGTTTAAACCAAAGCCATGTCAGCCTGAAGAAGTGCTTTATTTCACTCATCACAGGTTTTTCAAATGTCGAAATTAGTAGCCAACATCTAAAAATTGGCAAATTTCATATAAAAATATAGAATCAGGCCAGGCGCAGTGGCTCATGCCTATAATCCCAGCACTTTGGGAGGCCAAGGCGGGTGGATCACAAGGAGTTCCAGCAGTCAGGAGTTTGAGACCAGCCTGGCCAAAATGGCAAAACCCTGTCTCTACTAAAAATACAAAAAAGTAGCCAGGTATGGTGGCACGTGCCTGTAATCCCCGCTACTTCGGAGACTGAGGCAGGAGAACTGCTTGAACCTGGGAGGCACAGGTTGCAGTGAGCTGAGATCACACCACAGAGGGAGACTCTGTCTCAAAAACTAAAAAATAAAAATCTAGAAGTATAGAATCTTGGCTCCTTTAAGAAAATAATCTAGCACACTGGGCCAACATTCCTATGGTGACACGTGTCTGAGAAGCAGGTGCAGCAGCTGGCCCCTTCAGGTGGCATACATATCATGGACTTCATGACTGCCCTCACTTGAAGGCATGTGAATTTGCAATCCCTGATTTTAAGGGAGGGGATAATACCATAGACCGGCGGGGTGGCAGTTTACACGAAAGTAACACTGAAAGTGATCCAGTGATTAAACTGCACAGTGAAACTGAAGGTAACAGGGCAAATTAGGAGGATTTCACCACAGCATGAGGAGGTAACAAAAGCCTGAGCCAAGTTAGGAGAATAACCACTCTAAAAGAAAGTAAAGATTCAAGAAATGCTTAAAATGCTCCAGGGACAAGAATGCTTATTAATCATGGAACTCTTGTGTGTCATCTGTTCATGGACAAAGGCTGTATTAGGAGACGGAAAGACTCAAAATTAATTCTCAATTAAAAAATAAAGTGGCTATTAAACAAACTGTGGAAAATCCACTCCAATGCCATAATGCAGAGACAACCGACGAGGCACAGCTGTCCGCGTAATTCTCATCGTGGACTCTCAGGATCGCTTTCCAGGTGGAAAGGAACAAATACACCTGCAAACGCTCTGCGCGAAGCCCCTGACAAGTGATGCTTAACAAGCAGGGGCTGGGGTCTAAACCATTATTATCGCTCACAGCAGGACCAACAGTGACTTGGCAAACTTAGAAACCCTTGCAGCTCATCCACGGGAGGCTCCTGCCCGAGAACTCACACAGGCCGTTGACATCCAGCATGTTGGAGATGCCCCGGTCGCTCATGTCCACTTCGGGCTGGTTCTTCTCCCGGCTCTCCTCCACCAACTTCTTCAGAGACTTGGACATGGTCTGCAGCAAACGACAACAACAAAGCACGTGGGTGACGGCAGCAAGGGCAGGGGCGGAAAGGAAAGAGGCCTTCGCTGCCACTCTGGGGCCTCCCCAGGGTGGAGAGGGTGGGCGGCCGAGGGCGTCCCCCGGGCTGGTCCGGGTGCGGGAGGAGGATGGGGCGGGGCAGGGGAGTGGGAAGCATCCAGCCCCGCTCCGGCCACGCAAAGAGAAGCAACCCCAAGTGCAACGCCGCACACACTCACCGCGGAGAGCAGCCCCTACGAGGGTGCGCGTGCAACCACAGGCTTCGGCACGACGCACGCCGGCCGCGGGAGATGCCCCAACTCCCGGCCACACCGGCACCCAACAGCGAACCCGCCCTGTCTCCGCGCCCTGCGCAGGCGCACACCGCGCCGCTACCAGCTCCACGCCCGACCCTACCCAAATTAGGAGAACAGCTAGCTAGACGTGGCTCCCGGGCCAGGCTCCACCCTTAAAAGTATGTGGAGGAGGATGGCCAATCACGTTTGTTATTCGGCTTCGAGACCCCGCCCCACGCCGAGGTTGGTTAAATTCCGTGGCGTCCGCGTCGCGGCTTGGGACTCTGATTGGGTCGAAGTTGGTACGTGCGCGCTGGGTCTGGCGCATGCTCAGTTGGTGGGTCGCGGCCCACAGGGATGTGGGCGGAAGCGAGTAGGTTTTTGGCTCGAGTGCGTAAGGGAGGGTGGTGACTGAGGGTGGGTGTTGCTGAAGCTGGAAGTAAATTGCCTACAAATGTTCCGCTTCTGTAATTGCAGCTCCACTCCACAGAAGTTACTACCCTGAGTCCGGTCTCCATATTGTGTCTCTGAGGGATCTTGTGGGTCACGCAGCCTCCCGCCCTATTAAGAGCTCCTCCAATCGTTTTTAACATCTTGTTGGTTTCTAAGGCTGGCTTTTACCCCTGACCCTTTTGCTCTTGAGGAACGAGAACTACCCTCAGGGCTAGAAGCTACAAGTAAAACCCTACCATTTTAAGTCATTTGAAAACACCACTGAAGCGATGTGTCTTTCCCAGTTGTGACTTTCACATTTGTGAAACACGATGTTCCAGTTTCCAGGAATCTCCCGCTGGCTCTTCCAGAAGCAATCAAATTTTGAATTCTAGCAAACCTATTTCCTGACCCAGTCTCAGACATCCAGCAATATCCTGTGCTTCTCTCACCAAGAAACCTGTTCTGAAAGACAGTTACATGCTGTGGAATAGACTGGCAGCAGGCACTTTTCTCCTTTGTCACCTACATTGATGATGGACGGATACCACACATAATGCATTTATATATTGTAGATTGTAGTAGGGATCAAAGCCTTAAATGTGGTAAAATAATATAATCATAACTCTGAACCAGTTGTATAAAAAAAGATGTGCACTCATAAATTGGTTTTTTTGCTTAAACATTCCAGATGAAAAGGTTATTTCTGCATTAGTCTTCTTTGATCTAGAGCCGTTCCTTGGCTTTTATATTTATTGAACTAGACATTATTGAAGAGTACAGACCAGGTATTGTGTGGAATATCCTTTAAAGCGAGTTTGTCTGATGTTCGCTTTCAGGATATGATTTTTTTAAGAAACACCACTAAAGCGACGTGTCTTTTCCTGTGCATATCAAGGTACAGATGACATTGGTTTCCCCCAGTATTGGTGATGTTCACTTGAGTAAGGTGGTATCTGCTAGATTTCTTCACCATGAAGTTACTATTTTTTTCTTTATGATTAAAAATGATGCTTGGGAGTAGGTGCTACTTGGTTATGTCCCATTCCTTATCTAATTTTTACCCACTAGTTTTAGCATCCACTGATTTCATCTATATGTATTAGTTGGTAATCTCCTAATACATTTATTTCTTGAATCATTATATCTTTTAAAGCAAAAGTGCTTTAAAAAAAATCAGAATTTTTCTTATTCCATCAATTTGTTTTTTGTTGTCATTGTGACGAAGTCTTGCTGTCTTGCCAGGCTGGAGTGCAGTGATGCTGTCTCAGCTTACTGCAGCCTCCACTACCCTGGTTCAAGTGATTCCCCTGCCTCAGCCTCCCAAGTAGCTGGGACCCCAGGCACGTGCCACCAAACTCGGCTAATTTTTAGTATTTTAGTAGAGATAGGGTTTCACCATGTTGGCCAGGCTGATCTCAAACTCCTGACCTCAGGTGATCTGCCCTCAGCATCCTAAAGTGCTGGGATTACAGGAATGAGCCACCATGCCCAGCCTTGTTCCATCAGTTTCTAATAGTGAATCTTGACTATGTAGGCTGAAGACAGTAGTACCTGTGTTAGTCGGCTAGGGCTGGCATAATAATATACCACAGACTGGATGGCTTAAACGACAGAAATTTCTCACAATTCTGGAAGTTCAAGATCAAGGTGCTAGCAGAGTTGATTTATCCTGTGGACTCTCCCCTTGGCTTGTGGATGACTGTCTCCTTGGTGTCCTCCCAGGGCATTTTTTCTGTGCAGTCACACTCTTGGTGTATCTTCCTCTTCCTATGAGGACACCAGCCCTGTGGGACTACAGCCCAACTCTTGTTTCTCTGTAATAACACCCTGAATTTGTTTCATGAATATACTCCCTTCTTAAGTATCACTGAGGATAATAGTTCTTAAACCTCTCTTCAGTTCACTAAATTATGTTTCTTCAAGGGTCCATTTTTATGTGTGTGTATCTAGTCTTTCCCCTAAAAAAGAAAGATTCTTCCTCTCTCTGGTGATTGATTCTTGGTTGTTCTTTTGAATTCAGGTGTGAAGATCTAAACTGATTTTTCTAGATAGCTGCAGTGGTTTCTTTCCTTCCTTGTTTGTATCTTGTTTTCCTCCTAGGTCCCTGGGCTAATTGTTGGATTTCTTTAGCGGCAAGAATCCAGCGTTCTGCCTGCAGGTCATTGCCAGGCTACCTTTGCTGGTGAAGAGAAATGGTGGATTGTGAGTGCCAACTAACGCAACTCGATTACTTTGTTTTTAGCTCCGCACACTGCACCTGCCAGCCCCACATCCATATAACGCCTGAAATCGAGAGTCCCAATGCTGAGTCCGTCTGCAGACCCTAGCCCAGCAACGGGAAAGGAGTACTCAGACACAGGTATGCAGTGTGAGAGCAGCCAGGGGGCTGCCTGACACTAGAGGCCAAAGAAGAGAGCAGCCCCAAACAGCTAAAGCTGCTTGCTTTTTTTTTTTTTTTTTTTTTTTTTTTTGAGACACAGTCTTGCACTGAGACCCAGGCTTGAGTGCAGTGGGACAATCTCAGCTCACTGCAACTTGCACCTCCCACGTTCAAGCGATTCTCCTGCCTTAGCCTCTGAGGAGCTGAGATTTCAGGCACCCAACACCAAGCCCAGCTACATTTTTTTTGTATTTTTAGTAGAGGTGGGATTTCACTATGTTGATCAGGTTGGTCTTGAACTTGTGACCTTGTGATCTGCCCACTTCAGCCTCCCAAAGTGCTAGGATTACAGGCGTGAGCCACTGGGCCCAGTCTGCTGCTTGCTTTTATTCAGTACAGACATATTGCTGAAGCCTGGAGCTAACACAATCTGTGGGTAACATTGTTGTATAATAATGTTATTTATTACAATAATAATATTGTTTTTCCTTCCAGTTGAATTACTCAAAACTGATTATAACTACTTCCCTTTTGCTATACATGAAAATGGCATTCTCCCAAATCTGACCATTCCCTGACCCACTAAAAAAATCAGTGTTTACTTCCTGGATGCCTAGCGTGGAAGATTTTGTAAAGCTTCATTTTGTCTCTTTTTTCTGTATTTTTAATTTTCAAATTACATAATAGCATTGACTATGCTTTCCTCAATTTCATGTACACACCTCCCCGATATTCCAATATGCCTCCTAGAAAAGCATGCCCTTCTGAGTGGAAATGATACTGTTACTCTAATGACGCAATCCATGATCAAAGCGTCAATTTTTTTTTTTGACAGCGATATCATGTTAATCTTGCTTTCAGAAAAGTACTGTCATTTCATGTCATTGTTAAACTTTCCCTGTATTCTGTACCTTTGCAATTCATTTTTTACATAAAAGTGGAAGATCTCAAAGCTGTCACATTTTGTCTGTTACAAGTGGCCCATTGCTGTAGCTTATCAAGACCCCTTGGATTTGTTGTTATTCATTGCATTCACTGTCCTTTCCAATAGAAATGTCATCTATAAAGTTGATATATCTATCTATAACACAAAAAGGGAGCAGGAATTCATTTTTTTTCAGATGGAGTTTCACTCTCACCCAGGCTGGAGTGCGTGGCGCAACGTCAGCTCACTGAAACCTCTGCCTCCTGGGTTCAAGTGATTCTCCTGCTTCAGCCTCCTGAGTAGCTGAATGTTTAAGGTGAGAATATTTTATTTACGTGGCTCCATACTCTGTCCAAAAATAATTTCTCTGCAAGTTGGGTATTAGAATAAGATGAAGTAATACATTCCACAGCTTCTTTCATTCACTTGGTCTCATGTTCTTAATAACCCTTGATTTTGCCTAATTAACGTAAAGCAAATCTCCTTTGTAAAGTCTTCTGCTTTTTGAGAAGCAGTGAAAAACTTTATAAAAGTATTGGATTTTCTTATGAAAAGGAAGCTAATAATTACCTTAGTTACATGTCTGGCAGCATTGAAGATAAGGATGTGCTATTGAACTTTCTACTTCTTGTTAAATTGCAAACAATATTGTTTATTTGTAACTTAACACATTGTGTTAAGGAATAGGCGGTGGTGCTTATGGAAACTCTGTACTCTTGAGAATAAATACATAATATAGTTTGGATATTTGTGCTTGCCCAGATCTCATGTTGAGCTGTAATACCCAATGTTGGAGGTGGGCCTGGTGGAAAGTGTTTAGATCTTGGGGGTGGATCCCTCATGAATGGCTTGGGCCTCTCGCTCTCAGTTCACATGAGATCTGATCACTTAAAAGTGTGTGGCATCTGCCCCCTACTCTCACTGTCTTGCTCCCGCTTTCACCACGTCATTTGCCTATCTCCCCTTCACCATCTTTCATGATTCTAAGCTTCCGGAGGCCTCCCCAGAAGCCAAGCACCATGTTTCCTATAAAGCCTAGAGAACTGTGAGCAGATTAAACCTCTTCTCTTTATAAATTATCCAGTTTCAGGTATCTCTTTATAGCAATGCAAAAATGAAGAACACAGAAAATTGGTACCAGGAATGGGGTTGTGTTATAAAAGTATCTGCAGATGTGGAACTGACTTTGGAACAAGGCAATGGGTAGAGGTTGGAAGAGTTTGAAGGACTCAGAAGACAGAAAGATGAGGAGAAATGGGGAACTTCTTAGAGGCCACTTTAAAGTTGTGACCAAAATTCTCATAGTGATAGGGATAATGGAGTCCAGGCTGCCAGGTCTTGGATGATAATGAGGAACTTAGTGGGAGGTGGAGCAAAGGTGACACATATTATGCGTTAGCAAAGAGCTTGGCTGCATTCTGTTCCTGCCCTAGGA